AAGCAATGGAAGCCGTTATGTTAGAAATTCGAATACTGAAGGAAGTCAGTTTAAAGTTTTAAGTATATGCAATTTTTTTGAATCTTTCTTTTCCAGCTTTCTGGTCATCCCTCAATAATAGAGTTTCACGGTGCTGCTCAACTGAAGATACCTTCCGGAGGTGTAGAATTCCTACTGTTGACGGAATTATGCCCAGGTATGTGAAAAACCATTACAAGGTTATGCTTCAGTTGTGTTTTGTTTCATTTCACAAATATCTGCTTGCTGTTTTTCTATCGCTTTTTTCGTTTTTGTCACTGGTGCAAAATTTGCTTTACTTTCCATTTCACTTGATTGACCAAGATCTTCTATCACTGTAACTTAGAAATCTAGAATCCTGAGCCAATTTTTTGTTATTGGCAGTCTGTATAACTTTCTTTTGAGGCGGTTCCGTCGCCGATTTGATGAAGAACTCCCGAATAAGCCCGAAACAAGCTCTAAGGATTTTCTATGCAGCAGCCAGAGCCATTTGCCATATGCATGAGCGGAAAGTGCCCATTACTCACCGTGATATGAAGGTAATGAGAGTGACTAGTTTTCTATAGAGTAGTGTGTCGTTGTTCTTTCCTCTTGCGGTCCTGCTAGCATCTAGATTTAGATTGAAAACTTACTGTTCGATGCCACTGGACGAGTTAAGTTGTGTGATTTTGGCAGTGCTACCGTACAAACATTCCATCCTGATGAAACATGGAATATTACGAGAAGAACGCAGTTAGAAGAAGAGGTGCATATCTCTACGCATACAGCTGAGCAGTCTTCTATACTGAATATTCTAGATGCAAAGGCACACAACTCCTATGTACCGAGCTCCAGAAATTCTAGACACGTATCAAAATTATGTTGTTGGTCCACAGCAAGATATCTGGGTAAATTTATCAGTAATCTCACTCCTTATCTAGTTTTTTTTTTCAAATATTACTCATTTTTATGTCCTCCAGGCACTAGGATGCGTACTGTTTTACCTCTGCTACCATGTTCATCC